AAAAAAAAAGGCCAGGCGCAGTGGCTCACTCCTGGAATCCCAGCACTTTGGGAAGCTGAGGCGGGCAGATCACCTGAGGTCAGGAGTTCGCGACCAGCCTGACCAGCATGGAGAAACCCTGTCTCTACTAAAAATATAAAATTAGCCAGCCGTGGTGGTGCGTGCCGTGTAATCCCAGCACTTGGGAGGCTGAGGCAGGAGAATCGCTTGAACTCGGGAGGCAAGGTTGCAGTGAGCCGAGATTGCGCCATTGCACTCTAGCCTGGGCAACAAGAGTGAAACTCCGTCTCAAAAAAAAAAAAAAGGAAGGAATTTGCCTAACTCCTCTAGTTGGAGCTGTGCCAGGGAGACCAGCTTCTGTATCTCCATTCATCGTCTCACTTAGCCATGTTGGCATGCCTGATAGTGGGTCACTGCCTGTCATCTGCAGGCCGATGATCCCAGGGCTGTGTTTTTGCACAGACCCCATCATCACAACTACCAGCACCACACTCAAAGTCCAGGTAGCTGGTGGAGGGTTAGTAACATTATTTTTATGTGCAAAGGTTAACACTGACGCTGTTAGTGAATATTCTCTAGCTTTCTATAAAGAAAACAACCTGAAGCTCATGAGATAGGTCGGTTTCTGTATCCTTAACCTGACCCACTTTTTCTGAAGGTTATGCTGTGAAAGCTGTGAGTATCACAGGCTAAAACATGTAAATTAACTGATACTTTGTCAAGCCTATAAAATTATTTTGTGCTTGGATTCTATAAGCTGTATGTCATTGAGGGAAACGTAGAAAGCCAGCTGCAGCAGATTTGTTCAGGTTAGTGTGACAGGCCAGGTACCCCAGAATTGACAGCTGACTACTTTCCTGTCAAATCCTGTTAATTTCAACCACGAACATTGATGGTTGAAATTAAAAATTAAGTATCAAAGATGTGTGTTCTTCTACCTTTAATCTCAAGAATCTTGTTCTGTTTCTTTTTTTTGAGACATCATAAAACAGCATGCCATCTCGTTTTTAAATGCCTCCTTTTGTAACTGCTGCCCTTATTCCAAACCATGTGTTCCGTGTTTTGTGTGGTTTAGTAGCCATGGTTACCATCATTTATGAACAAATATAGGCTCAGTGGCTGTGAATATCCATAAGAGCCACAAATTTTAGAAGATGTTGCATTTCTTCAGCTCTGTAACATCCCTCATTCTCTGTCGATCAACAGATCATAAATCTGGTTCCGATTGTTGACAAGCAGCAAGCATTTTCCTGCATAGTAATGCTGCTGTCGTCTATCACATTTCCAGGTACCCTGATTCCCAGGGATCCGTGTGTGGCCATTTGTGCTGCCTGGTGAGAATGGGAAAGGGTCTCCAGATTTCTTTCTGCCCTGAGCAAGTGGCAGGGTATATGTGGTTGGGCATTGGAAGCTGATAGACAACTGTGCAAATAAGTAATGTGCAACACAGTGCTTTCTCTGGAGGAATTTAATTTGTGGTTGCTGCAGTGGTGGTGGTGGTGGTTCTGCTTGACTTGTTTCAAGAAAATATACTTTAGGCATGAGACTCTGAGATGGTTGATAGCATGTTTTGAAAAAAATGGTGAGGCCTGTTGCAAAGTCCGGTTAAACCAAATGGATATTTAAACCGTGCCGTAGTGAGGTTGTTGATACTTTATGGCATATGCAATATGGATCATACCCTTTCTGTTTTTGTTTTCTGCTAGTGCCTGGATCAAAGTGGAACAGCTAAAGCCATATCATGCTCATAAAGAGGAAATGATAAAAATTAACAAGGGTAAACGATTCCAGCAAGCGGTAGATGCCGTGGAAGAGTTCCTCAGGAGAGCCAAAGGGAAAGACCAGGTGAGAGACAACAATGTTCACTTTCTACCAATGCCAGACTGGTGATTTTTGCGTAGCAACTAACAGATTAAATGTCACCCAAGCCCAAACCTTTGTTCTTCTGAAATGCCACTGGAGAAAGCTACTTCAGTTCTAAGGTGTCAGCATTTTGCTTATCAGCTTGAAACTCCATGCGGCTAACCTTTCTGGAGTAGGTTGTTGCTTTTAGGAAAATTGCTTGGACCCAGGAGAAATATCTAGCATTTGAGTCTAGCACAGGCCATTTCTTCCTTTCATAGCACACAGATTAGGAGCGTAGCCTTTGAAATATATATACTGCCTGCATTTAAGTCCCATCTCCTAGTTTTGGGACCTAGGGAAAATGACTTTCAATCTGCTTCTCCCATTGTCTGGGGATGACAGCAGAATCTATTCTAGGGTCACTGTGAGGAGACCACACAGAGTGCCTGTAGCAGCACGTGGCACCTGCAAATGGTGGTGGCGATGGCGACAGCAGCTGTGGTGGTAGTTATCATTATTATTATTAAACTTTCAGACGTCATCCCACAATTCTGCTGATGACAAGAATCGACGTAATTCCAGTGAGGAGAGAAGTAGGCCAAACTCAGGTGATGAGAAGCGCAAACTTAGCCTGTCTGAAGGGAAGGTGAAGAAGAACATGGGAGAAGGAAAGAAGAGGGTGTCTTCAGGCTCTTCAGAGAGAGGCTCCAAATCCCCTCTGAAAAGAGCCCAAGAGCAAAGTCCCCGGAAGCGGGGTCGGCCCCCAAAGGATGAGAAGGTTTGTTTTCTCTCTGCAGCTTCCGGGATTAGTGATGTCCTTTTAGTATAAGGTCGAGTTAAGCTCTACAGTATGCCTCCGCTCACGGAGTGGGAGCAGAATTCTGTGCTCAAGAATCCTGCAGGGCAGGTGCAGTGGCGCATGCCTTATCCCAGCAACTCAGGAGGCTGAGGCAGGAAGATGGCTTGAGACTTGGAGCTCAAGGCTGCATTGAGCCTATTGCACCACTGCACTCTAGCTTGGGTGATAGATTAAGACCCTGACTCTTATTTTAAAAAATAAAAAAGAATCCCATATTCCAGGTGAGAGACACGGCCTGGATGCAGGTGTGAAATAAGAGCATGAGGTAGGAGAGCAGTCCACTTGAGCCGGTGCACAAGGGCTGGCCCTGGGAAGGGCTTAGCAAGAAAGAAGGGAAGGCATTCCAGAGGTGGAGGGCACAGCCCGTGTGAGGCTCAGTGCTGGTGGAGATACTCTCGAGCAGAGAGAGGATAGTAAGGAGAGCAGAGAAAAAGGAAGCTTGTCCCTAGATCTTGGAGGGCCTGAAGATCTGCTGAAGCAGCATGGTACTAAAGCGTCTTAGAGTCAGTGGGGGCCTGTGAAGGTGATTGAGCCGGTGGCAGTGTGTGCTTCCCGTGTGTGCTCCAGTAGTCACAGAGTCCAGAGGGGAAAGTCTCAGAGTCAATTAGAAGGCTAAGGCTAGGTGTGCATTCATAAGGGGGTAATTGCAAATGTTGCAAGCAAATAGGTGAGAGGCACTTCAGAGGAAGAGTTCTTAAGATTCTGTAACTGGGTATATAGAGGATGAATGAGAAAAAGGAAAAGAGGATTTCCAGCTTCATTCCTGGGAAACTGATGATCACTTTCTTAGAGGAGTTGGGATATAGAGGTAGCTTGTGGAGAAAGAGTACCAGTTTGGAATGGCAAGAATTTGAGGCAAGGCCTAGACAGCCTGGGAGCTTGGTGTGACCTCAGGACTAGAAATGTAGATTCGGGAGGTGAATTTGTAAAAGGATATTTGAGTCCAGGCAGTGGGATGGGGTTTGTCTCAGGAAGAGAGGGAGAAGAGGGAAGGGCGGAAGCCTGCATTGCAACAAGAATGCCGTGCTCGGGGCAGGAAGGAGTGGGAGGAGCTAGCAAGATGAGATAAAGCAGCCAGGGTGCATCTCTTGCCTTCTTGCTGACAAGATTTGGGGCCAGTGTTAGAAGGCCACAGAGAAGAATTTCAAAGTGAAGGGGCCTGTGTCAGGAATGCGGCAGGATTGCCAACAGCAGGAAAAAGAAGCCAGATGGCTGGCAGAAACAGTTGGGTGATAAGGCCATGATGAAACACTAGACTTTGGATCAAGGCTCAAAAATTCAGACACCAGTGAGCCCAGGCAGGTAATGGAAGCAACTGTAGCTGACTGGACCTAAGAAGCAGTGGCACGGGTGCCAGGCACCCCAGCTGACCTGCCTTGGTGCTCAGAGCAGCAGGGCTGGCCATGGTCAGGGAGTCTGGAGAGGTCATGCTCCTTCCACAGGGTTCCAGCCAGCTTCTGCCAGGTTGTCTGTTTTTTCTCAAGAGAAACTGAAAGGCCAGGTGTGGTATCTCACACCTGCAATCATAGCACTTTGGGAGGCTGAGGCAGGAAGATCACATGAGCCCAGGAGTTCGAGACCAGGCTGAGCAACATAGTAAGACCCTTTCCCTACAACAAATAAATAAATAAATAGATAGATAAAATTGGCCAGGTGTGGTGGCTTATGCCTGTAATCCCAGCATTTTGGGAGGCTGAGGTGAGCGGATTGCTTGAGTTTAGGAGTTCAAGACGAGCTCTACAAAAACTAAAAAGTTGGCCAGGCATGGCAGCTCACACCTGTAATCCTAGCGCTTTGGGAGGCCAAGGCAGGAGGATCCCGTAAGCCCAGGAGTTCTAGACCAGCCTGGGCAACATAGGGAGGTGCCATCTCTATTTTAAAATATTTTTTTGCTAGGCGTGGTGGCTCATGCCTGTAATCCCAACACTTCGGGAGGCCGAGGCGGGCAAATCACCTCAGGTCGGGATTTCGAGACCAGCCTGACCAACATGGAGAAACCCCGTCTCTACTAAAAATACAAAAATTAGCCGGGCATGGTGGCACATGCCTGTAATCCCAGCTACTCGGGAAGCTGAGGCAGGAGAATCGCTTGAACCCGGGAGGCAGAGGTTGCAGGGAGCCGAGATCGCGCCATTGCACTCTAGCCTGGGCGACAGAGCGAGACTCCATCTCAGGAAGAAAAAAAAATTAATATAAATGAATTAAAAATTAGCTGGAGTTGGTGGTGTGTGCCTGTAGTGCCCCCTATTCAGAAAGCTGAGGTGGGAAGATCACTTGAACCCAGGAGGTGGAGGTTACAGTGAGCCAAGATTATGCCACTACACTTTAGTCTTGGTGACACAGCGAGACCCTGTCTCAAAAAAACAATAAAAAAAGAAAGAAACAAAAAGTACTAACTGGGCATAGTGGTACATACCTGTAGTCCCAGATACTTGGGAAGCTGGGGTGGGAGGATCACTTGAGCCCAGGAGGTCAAGGCTGTAGTAACCTACACTTGCACCACTGCGCTCCAGCCTGAGCAACAGTGTGAGACCCTATCTCAAAAAAAAGAGAAAAGCTGGAAATACAGGTTTTTATGTGAAATATCCCAATTTTAAATGTGCTTAGTTAAAAAATATGTCTTGGGTCCACAGAAACATATCTGTGGGCTGCCAGCGTGAGGCCTCTGGTGAGAGACAGCCCTTCTCACTGTTAGATGACCTAAGGCTAAGGGAGTGGTGAGAGCAAGAGCGGTGGTGCTGTCCCTGGATACCGTGAGCCCAAGGTTTGGAAAAACTGCCAGCTGCAGTGCAGAGAGAACTTTATAGGGAGCATGATCTAAATTGATCCACAAAAAATGTAATGTGACTTTTGAATTTATTTCCTGGAATCCAAAAGGAATCTGGGCTGTCAGATTTTACATTATTTCCCAAATTGATATTTTCTGGAATGTGAAGCCTCGCATCTCACCAGCGCCTGTGCCACCCTGGACAGAAACACCTTCTCATTGGATAAAGGGAAGTACAAAGGAGAGGTTATGACAAGGGCCCGGAGTTTGAATCACATGTATAGGAACTTAGCAAAGCATCTTTGCCTCAATTTCCTCATCTGATCGTTAGGAATTATAACAGTATGTGCCTCATAGGTTCACCGTGTGAGTTAAATGACTGACGTGGACACAGCACTTAGAACAGTACCCGTGTACAAGGCATTTGATCAGTTCTTTAGGTTTGTTTCACCGACAGTAGCCAGTTGTGCAGTGAGAACCCCAGAGGCCACTGCCCAGGCTTCCAGGGACTCGTCTCACAAGCTCCCGGTAAACAGCAGACTGCCCTTGAGTCTGAATTATTAATTTGGGGAGTAGTGTAGTATACCTTGGAGATACTGCAGGGTCGATTCCAGATCATTGCAGGTCACACAAACATCTTGGTTTCCCAGTGCATGTAAAAGTTAGATTTATACTGTAGTCTATTAAGTGGCACAATAGCAATATGTCTTTTAAAAATGTACATACCTTGGCTGGGCGCAGTGGCTCACGCCTATAATCCCAGCACTTTGGGAGGCCCAGGCGGGCGGATCATGAGGTCAGGATATTGAGAACATCCTGGCTAACATGGTAAAACCCTGTCTCTACTAAAAATACAAAAAATTAGCCAGGTGTGGTGGCGGTCGCCTGTAGTCCCAGCTACCTGGGAGGCTGAGGCAGGAGAATGGCGTTGAACCCAGGAGGCGGAACCCAGTGAGCCGAGATCATGCGTTGAACCCAGTGAGCCGAGATCACGCCACTGCACTCCAGCTTGGGCGACAGAGCGAGACTCCATCTCAAAAAAAAAAAAGCCAGGCGCAGTGGCTCACACCTATAATCCCAGCACTTTGGGAGGCCAAGGTGGGTGGGTCACCTGAGGTCAGGAGTTCAAGACCAGCCTGGCCAACATGTAGAAACCCCATCTCTACTAAAAATAAAAAAAATTAGCCGGGTATGATGGTGCATGCCTGTAATCCCAGCTATAATCCCAGCTACTTGGGAGGATGAGGTAGGAGAATTAATTGCTTGAACTGGGAGGCGGAGGTTGCGGTGAGCCGAGATCGCGCCACCGCACTCCAGCCTGGGCAACAAGAGCGAAACTCCATCTCAAAAAAAAAAAGTATATACCTTAAGTTAAAAATACTTCATTGCTTAAAAAAATGCTGACAGAGACACAAAGTGTGCACCTGCTGCTGGGAGAATGGCCCCACAGACTTGGTTGATACTGGGCTGCCACAAACCTTCAATTCGTTTAAAAAAAAAAAAAGTGCAATACCTATGAAGCACAGTAAAACAAAGCATAATAAAACCAGGTGTGTCTGTGGTCCAGGAGCTCTATCTGCTGTTGACCCTTCGAGGTGTCCCTCCTACCTGTTCTTTGTGCTTGGCCTGGCCCATAGTGAAAGGACATATGAGCAGGAGGGGACAGAGCTGGCAAGTGGTACAGGATGGAGAGCCGTTTCAGTTTAGCACCTTCAGACGGGTAGGGAATCGGTGCCTGGGCTTTGGAATTTTGGTGCGTTTTAAATGTGATATATCCTGTAGTCTCAGAGGAAGGTGTTTGTGTGTGTGTTGCTGTAGTAATTGTCATCTGGCTGGCGAGCTCCTCTCAGAAACACTGAGCAGCCACATAGGCTGATAACTGGGCAAAGCCCAGCTGAGTGCCATTCCGGGACATAATCTCCTGCCCCGTGAGGATTAATGGAAAAGACTGACCTTGATGGCGGAGGCAGGCAGGGAAAGGCTGGGTTTGTGTCTGGACCTGCGTGTAAGTGCTGCACCCCAGCAGCGCCCACCCACCCTCTTTCTGGGGATGAACTCTGGGCACAGCCCACCTGGATCAAAGTAGCACTGTCAGGTCTGTGACTCTCCCAGAATCCCAACTCAAACGAGGAGCAGAAGTTTAGGAGTTGGGGCCCTTCCTTAGTGCCAAACTGAGAGCTACAAGCTGCCTCCTCATTGTTCCCATTGGGTCATTGTGTCCTTAGGCAATTCCTAGGGCTGCACCTCCCCAGACAGCTGTGCTGCCCCAGCCACAATTGGCCATTTAAATTTAAATTAAATACACGTTAAAATGCAGCTTCTCCATCTCCATCACCCTATCGTGTGAGATGCTCCACAGTGACACTTGACTGGCGCCTGCTCTATCACACAGTGCAGATATAGGACACGCCCTGTATCATTGCAGAATATTCTTTTGAGCAGCTCTGGGCTGGGCCTTTCTCTTCCCCCAGAAACCTCTGAATTCAACAAATGTTTACTGAGCAATTCTACCATAGGCCAGATGCCTGGAGAGAAAGCAGTATAAAAGTCAGACAAGGCTCCTTCAGTAACAATTGAACCTGGACTGTATGCCAGCATGGGTTGTAGAGTAGGCGAAACTGGCAGAGTTCTTGCTTTCCTAGGATGTGCTTCTAATATGACAGACCCTGGAGCCAAATTCTGTCAGTCTGCTAGGCACAGTGGCTCACTCGCATAATCCAGTACTTTGGAAGGCCGAGGTAGGAGGATCACTTGAGGCCAGAAGTTATAACAAGACCAGTCTGGCCAACATAGCAAGACCCTATAAAAACAAAAAATTAAAAATTACAAAAAACGAATAATTGCAAATAAATAATAAATCTACAAAAAAGAAAAAGAAAAAGTTAGCCAGGCATGGTGGCGCACACCTGTAGTCCCAGCTACCCAGGAGGCTGAGGTGGGAAGATCACTTCTTCCCACCCCAGGTGGTTGAGGCTGCGGTGAGCCCTAATTGCGTCCCTGCACTCCAAGCCTAGGTGACAGAGCTAGACTATGCCTCCAAATAAATAAATTGTATCTACCACACCAGTGACTGACTCGGTGACCTTAAGCAAGGTTACTTAAGCTCTGTGTGCTTTAGTTTTGTATTCTGTAGAAGAAGATTATAATAGGGCTGGGCGCAATGGCTCACGCCTATAATCCCAGCACTTTGGGAGGCCAACGGGGCGGATCACAAGGTCAGGAGACCATCCTGGCTAACATGGTGAAACCCCGTCTCTACTAAACACACAAAAAATTAGCCGGGCGTGGTGGCATGTGCCTGTGGTCCCAGCTACTCAGGAGGCTGAGGCAGGAGAATCGCTTGAACACAGGAGGCAGAGCTTGCAGTGAGCCGAGATCACGCCATTGCACCCCAGCCCGGGCTATAGAGCAAGACTCTGTCTCAAAAAAAAAAAAAAAAAAAAGATCATAGTAGTTCTGTTTCATGAAGGGGTGAGAATTACATGAGAACGTACATATAAAATAGCACTTATAGTGACATCTAGCATGTAGTAAGCCCTATGAAAGCATTTTTTCTCTTTATGATCCACATCAGCATCATGTTCTGTGGGCAAAAATACAGAGAGGTCAGGTGAAGCCACTCTGATAAGGTGACATTTCAACAGAGTCCTAAAGCAAGCCTGAGCCAAGGAGATAACTGTCAGAAGAACGTTCCCAGTAGCACAAGGGACCCACGGCAGGCACATGCTTGGTGTGTTTGGGGCCTGGGTGGAAGGCCAGCAGGATGCTAATGAGTTGGAGAGCAGTGACAGGAGGAAGAAATAGGACTTGAGGTTGGAGATTGGCGTGGGATGGGTGGGAGATGGCAGAACTTGCAAGACCCTCCCTGTAGACCATGCTCATGAAGCCCGTGGCTTTACTATGTGAGACTGGAAGCCAGTTTTAGGCAGAGAAGTGTCATGGATCTGATTGGCCCTTTTGGTAGATGACTGGCTGCTGTGTAGAGACTAGACTGTGAGTGGAAGCCAGGAGATTTATTTTTGCAATTGTCCAGGTGGCCAGCAATGGCCTGAGCTTAGATATTGGTAGCCTGGATGGTGAGAAGAAGGGGTTGGGCAGATCCCCAACTATAAAGCCCCGTTCATTGCCAGTGATTAGAGAAGAGGGGTCAAGGAGGGCTCTAAAGATGTCGGCCTAGTAGAATGGAGCAGGCATTTTCTAAGACTAAGAAAACCTCAGGAGTAGTCTAGGCAGCAGGTGTCAGGAGGGCCACTGTGGCTGGAAGGGAGCGACTGGGGAAAGGGAGTGCAAGGTAACATCAGAGCAGTCGAGAGGGACCAGACCAGTGTTAGAATTGGAAAGAGGGGGCCGGGCGCGGTGGCTCAAGCCTGTAATCCCAGCACTTTGGGAGGCCAAGACGGGCAGATCACGAGGTCAGGAGATCGAGACCATCCTGGCTAAC